TTATATATAATATTATTAAATAGAAAAGTATACAATGAGACCATTTAACTTTGGTATAAGATAATTAATCTTGAGCATTGAATGTGAAATTGGATAGTTACATTTATTCAATTGACTAAGCTTAAAGTTTAAAAGAAATTTCCTTGAAGCATGTGATTATAAGTAATTGTGACTTTTTTGTATCAACTTAAATAATCTCATTTTATATAATAACTTATTTAACTACTTAACTTTTCGACAATTTGCAGCCATTTTAGCTCTTTCTAGAAAAACTATATGATTTTCCACAAATTATTTTGAATAAAGTAAAAAACAACTTTTCAAAAAGATAAATTTGTATGTAAAACTGCTTACAGGTTTATCGCAAATAATTTTATGATGGACATTATTAAACTAATTTGTGTTTTCATGAGTAATCTTATCTAATTAGTGAATAATTTTATGATGGACACTATTGGACTAAATTTGTTTTGTCATGATTAATCTTATCTAATTAGTGAATTATCATTGCTAACAAATACAACTAACCTTAGATAGACAGATAAATAAAAGAAGCATAAATTTGGTATTATCATTTAAGAATGTGTGTTGGAGAGAGAGGTAATATAACTGCTAATGTTGCTGAAATAGCTTCGTTATTGCAAGCTTTGAAGATTATAAAAGATAAGCAAATGAGTTTTTTTATTTATGGTGGTGGGGGATTCTTTAAATACCATTAGATGGTATAAGAAGGAGCAAAAGATTACATGACAATTGAGGCAAATTTGGCTGCAAATTATGGATTAAGTGGTCTTATTGAGCGTTTCATTCTATCATGTATACATAAAAGCAAATGAGACGACGGATTCATTTAGCAAAAATGGGTGTTTTTCTTTCTGGGTTGGTTATTTCTGATGATGTAACTGTACTATTGTGAGTTGAGCGTTGTAATTCCATTGGTTGATTTATAAAAGTATTGAATATTGTAAAAAAAAAAAAACAATTATAGGCATGCCTACCCAAAAAGGCCAAACGTGATACAAAACATATCCAACGGCAACGAATACAAAGATAAATTAGAAAGCATCTACCACTTAAATAAAAAAGCATCCACCACTTTATGAAAAAGCTTGTTTCACAAAGCAAAAGGATGGTACTTAAAAAGTTGTAGCAGTCTATGTTCTCTGTTCCACACTTCATGAGGTAATATCAACTTTTTGGGCAGCACTCATTGTGGGCGTTACTTAAAAAGTTGTAGCACTCTATCTTCTCTCTCCGAGACTTAATGAGGTTATATCAACTTTTTGGGTAGCGTTCAGTGTAGGTGTAAATTAAAGAAGGGATCATTACGTTTTGTTTTTATTATTAAAATACTGAATATTTTTTATTATTATTGATATGTCCGTTTTTAAAAATTATAATAATTTTTTTTAAAAAAGATGAAATTATTTATTTTTAATTTTTTAAAAATCGAAATAATGTCAATTTCGATTCTTAAAAAACTGATAATTTAAAATTTGTTGTTCTTCAAAAACCTATTTTTTTTTTGTCCTTTTATAAGTCCTCTGCGTATTTTAAACGTCTCTTACTTTTTGCTACATCATTTCCAATCATTCTTGAAATTAGAGAGTTTGTAGCATGTGATCGAGATTCTTATCTGTATTTGGTTGAAAGCATTCGCCGATTCCCTTCATAGGTAATATTTTAATGGCGAGGTCTATTCCTCTCTGATTAAAATAATAATTTAATGGCCCCCTCTCTCTCTTTGGAAAGAGAGAGATTTGTCAATCTTTCGTATATAAATAAATATTAGATATTCGAAATTGAGTTTGTCTGGTAAAAGAAAAGTTTGCACAGATGATTGCCGATGCGAGATTTCAAAAGGTTGAATATGAAAATCTCATGGGCGGCGAGGTTGCCATCCATTATGGTGTGAAACCATGAGAGCTTTGCAATGGAGACAAACAATTGTTACTAGCCGTGTTTTGAAACCCGGAATCGAGTTTTGGATGGCACACCCAATATACCGATCAAGCTCAGCTGAATCACCGATAAATCGTTAAAATGAAAACCAATAAAAAAATACCATCGGACGACTCTAGGGAATGGGGAGCGACCCAAATCGCCCACCCACTTATCGGCAATTTTTTATCTGGATTGCTAGGGAGGGACCCGGATCACCTGCCCATTGATCGGCAATTTTTGTCTTTGGTAGCTTCATGTGCGTAGTTGATCTTTAGCTTCCAGTCGTTGTGTCATCGAGCTTTGTTTGAAATCTTCGTGTAATGTAGAGAGAGAAGTAGAGAGAGAATATGTAAACGATTCCCAAGAACGATAAAAAAAAAATTCAGTTTTTAAAAAAAAGTTGATTTTTTAAAAACAAAAATTGGCTTAATTTTGGTTTTTAAAAAATCGAAAATAAGTAGTTTCTTCTTTTTTAAAAAAAAATGTTATGAAGTCTAAACAACGAACATATCAGTAATAACAGAAAGTATTCCGTATTTTGATAAAATAGAAACTAAAATGGATACTTAAGTAGTTTTCCCAATAAAGAATTATACATATATCAAGAGTTGGGATTGTGTAAGGTACTCACTTTATACTATACTTGTATATGTGCCTCTAAATTTTGCTAAGGGATGTAGTTTCGGTGGTGCCTAATACATAGCTTGAAGGTCTATGGTCAATCTTTAGATGAAATTTAAAATTTCACAGATCAAGTAGATCTATAAATATTTGAAAATAAACGGTTCAGATAACTTATTGCAAAATATACTATTTTTAAGACTTGAAATTCATTTTTTTTTCTTTAAATTCATGTATGTCAAGGTCGAGGTGATTAAATGGAAGGTTTTCCAACTTTTAAAAACTCTCTTTTCAAAAGTTTTTTTAAACCCACCTTACATCTATAGTCTGAGATTGCAATCTTATATAAACTTTTCCCATATATTAAAAAAGGGACCCTAACTGTAGAATTAAAGTACACTTCTAAAATATTTCGACAAAAGTTGTTTTGATGTTGGAAAGTATTTAATCGATCATCTTCAAGATCTATAAATATGGAAAAAAAAGAATTTCAAGTAATATATCTTGCAACGTATTATATGGTTCATTTATTTTTTAGATTTTCATACATTCATAGATCTGTTTAATCAAAATCAATTTTAAAATTTAAAATTTTATAATTAGAGATAAAATAGATTCTTGTACCATCCAAAAGAATTTTCATCACAAAAATTGTATCTCAAATTGAAGTTTGGAAATGCATTTTATTTTTATTATTTTAGTTGCAACCTTATACAAACTACACTTTTAAAAGAAAGCATGATGTTTCTATAATGCCTCAGCTTTATAAAAAACAAATAAAGCCACTTTATTTTGGTTATTTTTTATTGCAACCTTATGCAAACCACAATCTTAAAAGAAAATATGATGTTTTTATAAGGCCTCGGTTTTATGAAAAAGAAATAAAGCCTCATCTCAAATCAAATCCCTTAAAAACCGGAAGGATAAGGTTTCTACGGAGCCAAAGATTTTTTTTAAAAAATAAAAATAAAATAAAGCCCCTTCTCAAAACGTTATCCACAAAGCGCTTTCGTACAGATCTTTTTTCATTGGTTCGTACGATTAACGCGTATAGCCGCCCCCCTCTATCAAATCTTTACCCCCTTCAATACAATCTTTCTTTTACACTTTGAAATCACTGCACGACGCGGCGATTGACTGTAAGGGAAAATGACATTCACCCCCTCATGCAAATCCTTTTTGGATTTTTACCCCTTTCAAAACAATCTTTCTTTTACGCTTTGAAATCAATGCACGACGCGGCGATTGACTGTGAGTGAAAATGACATTCACCCCCGCAGTCAAACCTTTGTTGGATTTTTACCCCCTTCAATACAGTCTTTCTTTTACACTTTGAAATCAATGCACGACGCGGCGATTGACTGTGAGGGAAAATGGCATTCTTACAAGCAAGACTTTTCCAAGCTTTTGCCCATCAAAGACGCGATGGCTCCAATAATTCTCTCTGGTTAACTTAATTAGTCCTAAGTCCTAATTAGAGAGTTAAAAAACACCATGTCCGCATGAAATCACTCGGTCCCACCCAAAAATTGGTCACCTCAATTCGATTTCTCATATATATACAAAAATGGTTGAATTTAAAAGAGAATTAGTGGTTTCGCATACTAAAACGATGATTCACATTAAAATAGCAATATGGACTCGCCGATTCATAAGCCTAGTCTGATTTTTGAGGTGTCCTATATGTCTTTTAAATTACTAGTCCTAACTATAAAATATAAATCTTCTAAGACCTTGCTTTTCCTTAATCAATACATAGATCGCTCTTTTAATGCATTTTGAATAGCCCTCGTGCACTTAAACAAAAAGAAAAACATAAAATAAAAAAAATAAAATGAATTCTTGCTCCCATTGGACCGCATATTGTCCACTTGCTCCCTTAGGCAAAAGCCATGCGAGGAGTACTTCTAGAACCTCAAAGTTTGGTGATATCGTGCTAAAACCAAGCAAACCAACCCTTGAAAAAACGAAAAGAATAAAAAAAGAAGTGAAAATTGCACACTCTGAGCCTGAAAATATAACATCTTAAGATTTAAAAGGGGTGGCCATCTAACTTTTGGAGGGGCAAGATGCAGGTATTGAACAAGTCAAAATCCACTTTTACTAAAATATTATTTGGTAGTTTTTAGGTGGATCCCTAAATTCATATTAAAATAATCCTCCCAAATAGCTCTCTGGCTGAGGGATTAGTGTATGGTATGTGGGAACATCTTAGAAGGACTAAAGAAATAAAGCCGATGATCCCATTTGAATATTTAGAATTGACTTTTTGTTTTTTGTTTTTTTGGTAATTTAGTGAGGAAGGCAGGTTTTTTTTATGTAGTTTAGGAATTAATTTTTTTTTGAACGTGCTTGTGAAGAATAGAAACATCATCGTTCTGATTAAGATGTAAGATGTGAGGGGTACCACCACCACCACCACCACCACCACCACCACCGCAAACCCTTACCCATATTTAGAATTGACTTTACAATGGAATACTTGTTTGCTTGCCTCTCGTTACTTCTATAGCGTGCACCTCAAGCATAGAACATTTCAAAGCACATGTGATGTGATAATCCTATAAATATTCAGAGGCTCTTAAGGGTGTAAGAATATTAGAGGCATAAGGCCTTGCATCTCATTGTTTATTGATATTCACCATGTCTCCTAGTTTTAGGACCTTATGTTTGCTCCTGGTGGGGGTGATCATACCTGTGCTAGTAAATGGTGCCCTAGAAGTTGGCTTTTATAATGAGACATGTCCACAAGCTGAGCAACTGATTTTCGATGCTGTGTCTACGGCTGTAACTGCAAATCCTGGCATTGCTGCTGGATTGATAAGGATGTATTTCCACGACTGCTTTGTGAGAGTAAGTGTTAGTAGCAAATTTATTTCGATCAATTGCTAAGAGATTTTCGACTCGAACAAGCAACAGTTTTTGTGCTAGATGTCTGTTAGAGCAACGGCATTTGTATTGCTTCTTGCTTTCGACCTGTAATTTGTTGGGTCGGACTCCCCTGAGCCATTCGGTCTCGGTAAAGTACCAAGTCCAACTGGCTTATGGTTAAGGTGCCCTTGCCCTTGCCCTCCATCCCTGGCCAAACCATTAATTGGACAGTAAGAACTCATCGATAAGATGTTCCTGAATGCTCCCCCAAAACAAGATGAAACCGTATTGTGTACAATGAAACTAGAATTTTCCACATTAAAAGGTCCCAAACCTCCTAAGCCATCTGATGTAAAATTGGACGGCTGGCATGTGTTATTTCTCCTCTCAAACTCAAAAGGAAACTTCCTTGAAGTTTGAGGAGATTCAATTTCTAGAAGTTATTATTAATGATTTAGATGAATTTTTTATAGGGGTGCGACGGGTCCGTGCTGCTAGACTCGACCGCGGATAACCAAGCCGAGAAGGATTCACCTGTGAACAACCCGAGTCTTCGTGGTTTTGAAGTGATCGACGAGGCCAAGGCTGCCATCGAGACCGTGTGCCCCAACACAGTATCATGCGCCGACGTCCTAGCCTTTGCTGCAAGGGACAGCACCTCGCTCACAGGCGGCCTCAACTACACTCTCCCTGCAGGCAGGCGTGATGGCAATGTATCGATCGCAAATGAAACCTTCTCAAACCTCCCCCCTCCATCTTTCAATGTCACTCAACTCGTCGACAATTTCGCTATAAAGAATCTCACCTTGGAGGAGATGGTCACTCTCTCTGGCGGCCACACCATTGGCCGGTCTCATTGCACCTCGTTCGTCAGCCGCTTATATAACTTTAGCTCAACCAGTCAAGTCGATCCGACTCTGGACGCAGACTACGCCGCCACTCTGCAAAGTCTGTGCCCTTTCAATGCTTCTACGAACAATGAAACCACAGTTCCAATGGATGTGTTTACACCAGATGATTTGGATGTGAATTACTACGTTGGGGTGACCCAAAATTTCGGGTTGTTCACTTCGGATCAAACACTTTTGACCAACGATTCGACAAGCGCTCTCGTCGAGGAGAATATAGGGAGCCCAGATGTGTGGCAAGCGAGGTTTGCAGCGGCCATGATTAAGATGGGGGACATTGAGGTTCTCACTGGAACTGATGGGGAGATCAGGACTAATTGCAGGGTTGTCAACAGTGCCTCATCTGCTTCTCTTATTGACACTTTCGGGTCTTCTTCTTCCTATTCGAAGGTGGCAAGTAGCTGAATGCACAAAAAATTATGTTATGGAAATGTGAAGGGGCATTTTACTTGTCTTGATGTCTGGTTATTTCACTTCTCTTCTCCTCTTTATCTAGCTGGTGTCGTAATAATGGAAATATCATGTTATTGAATTACTTGTTTATTTTCTCTGTTTATTTGGTTGAACCTGATGTCCTCATCATAGGCGGTGATTTCTTAAAGGTCGAAAGGAGAAAGGAAAAAGTTTATATGAGGTTGCAACCTTAAAATATAGAATTAAGTTACACCTCGAAATCCGTCATAAAAAGTTGTGTAGATGTTAGAAAACCTTCTACTTGGTCATCTCGGCGTTCGTCGAGATGTATGAATATAAAAATAAACAAAGATTTCGAGTTCACGAATTAGTATATTTTATAATACATTATCTGGACGGTTTATTTTTTAGATTTTTGTGTTAATGATCTACTCAAGTTTAAAATTTTATGATTAAAGATGAAAATATATTTTCAAACAATTTTATAAAAAAAAATGTTTATATTAAAAAAATATTTATATCAAAATTACATTTATGATAAAATTTAAAGGTGCACTGTTGTTTAAAGTTGCAACCTTACCAAATCCTTTCCTATATATTCTAGTAGCCTGCCTACCGCTTCAATGGGCCCAAAGTTAGAGATGCCAAAGCATACCATAAGATTGTTTGTTTACGTATGTTGTTGAGAGGTCATTGTCACCTCCACCAAATGCAAAATCAAAGCTGGGGTATCGACCGGCTTGGAATTCGAAATATTTTTTCTGGGACTTGCAATAGAGAAATGACACATGTCTAGGCACCCGATTTCCCATCCGAAAAATTTTATCCTCGGACATGCTATTGAGAAATGACACCTCTAGCCACCAGATTTTCGGTGTGATAGCTAAGGTTCACTGTAAGTTTCTGTACTAAAAGTAAATCATTTATATAAGTCATTCATTTCAATAAGTCATGCCACTTTTGTCTTAGCGATGTTTTAATGAAAGTGGTTTGACAGGGTTACCTAAAAGTAAATCTCACTTCATAACTCATCGAAAATGGTAAGGATTTTGAATAAAACAATTTTTTTGTTGAATAAAAAGTGTTAATTTTTTTATCATCCCGGCATCGAGTTATTTTTCTGCAGGATCTCCTTCACAGTATCGTCGCCGTTGTAGAGTTTAACCACCAAGTTCGGGATGGAATTGGTGTTGTTTCTGTACGTCTAGAGCATCGGAATATCGAACTATGAACGAAAAAAAGTATAAGAGAAAAGCATATTGGCCAATGAGTGCTGATTGTGAGGCTCCAAGTCTGGACAGGAAGGGACACCAAAAGGAACCTCCTTCTGCCCTTCCATCCCTTGGATAGATAGAGAGGTAGGGCAGAGCCTTTGGTTTTTTCATCTTATCAAACACAACATCTCTTCAGCATTAGAAAACCTTTACATGGATCATCTCCACTAGAATATTATGGTTGTAAAAAAAAAAAAAGGATTTAAAGCTCTAAAATTGTGTATATTGTAATAAATTATCAACATCGCCCATTTTGCTTTAAAATAAGTGTTCACATGTCTATAAGATCTATACCATTTTTTGAGTTTCAAATTTTATTGCCAGCATTGGAAATTGTTTTTGGAGCCATCATAGATATTTCCATCACCAAAAGTACTTTGGGACGAGAATTTGAAGTGAGACTTTATTTTGTTTTCACAAAGTCTAGACCTTATATTATTCCTTGGCTTGTTGGCCATCGTCGACCACTCGCTATAGATCAAGTGCAAAAAAGGGGCGATAGTTCTTGTCTCTGACCGCCTCTTTTGCAAGAATGAAGGAGTGATTTTAGATCATATTCTTCTCCATTGCCCTTTTTCTTTAGAGGTCTGGTCTTGGTTTAAGCAGATATCCTCTTGTCTCTAGGTTCCTCATGTGGCGATCAATACTACTTGTATTATATTTGGGCCCCTTTTTTATCCAAGTCTGGTCTCTTACTCTTACTCGAAAATTATGCTGGTTGTGGTTATTTGGACTATATTGAAAGAAAGAAACTTGAGAACTTTTGAAGGAAAGTCTTGGGATGTGGCCTTGGTTACTCACTCAATCGAAGTATTGGTAACCACCTAGGCAAAAGCTTCTCTCCTTTTTCATCGGTGTCTCTGGATCCGTTGTTCGTACACTTTTCTAAGTGGGTGTTCTTCGAAAAAAAAAGATGCTCTAGGTCGTCGGTTTGGAGTCCTCCCCTGACAGATTGGCTGAAACTTAACTTTGATGGGAGTGTTTTTCTTGAAGAGAGACGCACGGGTTTTAGTGGAGTATTCAGAGATGAACTTGGCAACACCATCTGGACTTACAGGGGATCTATGCCTTTCACAAATATTAATGAAGTTGAGCTTAGGGCGGTACAAGAGGGAGTGCTTAAACTCAACCCTATCCAAAACAGGCTGATAATTGAAGGTGACTCCGCAACTGTCATTTCCTAGTGTAAATCTCGTGCTTCTGTTCCCTGGGCTTGACCTCTTTCATGGACAAGATTGTCACGGCTCTATCTGATAAAGAGGCCATCTTCCGACATGTCTTCAGGGAAAAGAACTCGGTCGCTGACATGCTTGCAAAAGCAGGGGCCCTCCTTCTACCTACTCTTCTCTCCTGCTCCCCTTCTCCCTTTTTTTTCTCTTGTTTTCTTTTTTGTTTTTTGATTTTTGTTTTGTTGTGATCTCTTTCATTATCTTAATGAACCTTACCATTTTCCCAAAAAAAAAAAAAAAAAAAAAAAACTAGGCTTGATAGAAGCCTCTCATCCATGTTTTAATAACCAAGAAGTTGGCTGGCAACTGATAGGTCGGTGGTCTAAGTCTAACCCTGGACTCTACCAGTCCCCATCAGTTTAGCTTATTTTATTTTTTGTTTCATTACAAAATTTCCTTGGATAATCGGCCGGTTTGGATAGGAACTGGTGCGTTATTGCACCCATACGATATGAAGAAGAGGTTGGGATTTTTCTTCATACATTTTTTTTTGAAAATGAAGAAGAGGTTGGGATTTTTCTTCATACATTTTTTTTAAAAAATGAAAAAGGTTGGGATTATGCATACTAAAAGAGAGCCCACCCTTGAACTTCTTCTTCTCTTTTAAAGCCCCATTAAAACTAGGATCTATTTCCATCTCCTTTTATTTTTAATTTTTTTTTTGAACATCACCTGTTTCCATCTCTTTTTCCTCTACCCCTCCTACAATAAAGGTTATTTAAAACAAGCCTTCCATTCAATCTTTCACTAATTCAATTTTCATAGCCAATGAAAAAGGAAATTTGTATGGGATTTTTTGAATTGGTCAAGAGTCCTTCCCATATGACAACTATATATCTCCAAGAAGAAAGAAAATGTTGGCTGAACTTGAAAATAAAATTCATTCATTGAATCAGTAAGTGATTAAATCGAATTCCATTAGATAGCACCAACTAAATCGAGCAATAACTCCCATTTCTTATTGAATTGACGATCAATTTGCTATTGGACATTTAGCAATAACTCCCATTTCTTATTGAATTAACGATCAATTTGCTATTGGATATTTTCAATTCGGTAATATTCGTGGACCTATTTTGAGAATCAATCGGGCTACTTCTGAAGTTATAACAATTGAATAATGATCAATTTGCATAGAATAAAGAGAGTAGCACGTGTAGTCAAAACAATAGATTGTAAAACATGAATTTGACTAATCAAAGCACCACCACGTTTAAAATTTGACATAGCTGCTTCACATAAATTAGAGTTTTAGGAATTTGATTGGCATTTTACAAGTAAATTGTTTTTCATCACCGTCCAATCAAAGGGTTGAGCCGAGATGGCGACAGATTGGAATGCATGAATCAAGACATGACTTCAATGCTGAGTCCCTATTAACTCTTCATCTGATAACACTTAAAAGTATACTTCTAAAGTTGGAGTTTGTAGGGGATTTGATCAGCAACTCGTCTTAGGAGAAATTATTCTCTTTTCAAATAAATAAATACTCAAATAAATAAATGGACTTTGATTTTCCATGATTTTATTGGGTTGCGATGGTTCTTTACTACTAGATTTGACTCCGGGCAACATAGCTGAGAAGGACTCAGCCGATTATTATCCGAGTCATCGATGGGGCTTCTAAAATCCATTGAAAAATATTGTTTTGATGTTGGAAAAATATCAAGAGAAAAAAAATATATTTCAAGTCTTAAAAATAGTACGTCTTGCAACACATTATCTGAATCGTCCATTTTTAAGATTTTCATGTGTTTACGGATCTGCTTAATTTGACCTATTTTTAAAATTTAACATTTTATAATTAGATATACAAATAGATTCTCGTACCATCCTAAAATTTTCGTCACCAAAATTGCTTCTCATGACAAAGTTTGGACGTACACCTTAATTTGTTTGTTTAAGGTTGCAACCCTATACAAACCACGCCCATGTTATTTTTCAAACTATTGACTCTACTTTTTATTTTTTAAAATTTGGTCTAATCAATCTAGCTCAACCGGTTTTAAATAGATCAGGCCCCGTCTGATTCCAATAACACTAGAAGAGAAATATAAATCAACCACCCACCGTTCAACTAAAAGATCAATAAAAACAATGAATAAGGGGTAAAAGAGAAACGAAAACATCCATGGCAAAATACTTAAACAGCTAACATATGGCTCATGCTAAAAAAATAACTAAAAGTTTTTAAGAGAAAAAAGAAATGAAGACATCCGAGGCGTGGTCACCGGTCCATGCTCAAAGAAAACTTAAATTAAAATTTGAAGAGCTTGATTCATTGCTTGAGATATTGTAACAAAGATAATGTATGATAAAATGGCTGAGTGGTGTCTCATATTTGAAATTATGTTATCATTTGGTAATTTTAGTCGTACCCTCAAATCTTTCCAAGATTTTTTGAAAATGACATCCTTAGAACTACGACCTTGAATCAAGAGCAATTGCCCTATTAATTAAAGGAACCTTTGTTTCTGTTTCCACGCACATGGTTTATTTATGTTTTTAAGAGTTAAGAGATCTGATTGCAATCGCTAGATAGAAGTGAGTCATGAATGATGTGTGCACCCTCGTAGACATGCAATAATTAATGTATGACATCAGCACACTCTTAGCCTTTTGGTTAGGGGTGGCAACCGGTCGGCGTGAAAAAAACGTAGAAGACCCGGATCCGACCCAAAAAATAGAAAAAATATATATATATTTTTCAATATATTGAAAAATGGATGAGGTTTGTATAATGCTTACGCTTTATGAAAACAAAATAAACCCTCATCTCAAATCTTCGTCTAGAAAGCACTTGTGGCCACAGAAATCTCTATGATGCCTCGAAAATCAGTTTCCAACAGTGACAATGAAATTCGAAACTCAATACCATTTTTAGAGTATGAAATCTTTTTTTTTTTTCACAACCATAATATTCAAGCCAAGATGATTGATGTAAATGTTTTGTAATGCTTGAGTTGCAATTTTCGATGAGTTATGAGACGAGGCTTTACTTGTTTTGAATAGAGCTGCAGCCTTATCAAACTATTTTTCTTTAATATTATGCTAAATATATACATGATTATTTAAATATTATAATTAAAACTATATGGTTATATTCATTTACATATTATTTAAATACTATGAAAATATTATATTAAATTTTATTTAAATAATAACACTATTCGGTTCAAGGTTCGGGTTTGGGTCCATATGGACCCATACCTGACTAGTGTTCGGGTCCAATTGTTTGGACCCATACCCAAGTCGGGTCCGAAGTTGGGTGCGGGTTCATTGCCAGTCGAAATCAGGCTACATAGTACCTTCAAACAAATATAATTTATGTGAATGCAGAGAAATACGCAGAAAGTTCAAACTGGCCCCAATGAGAAGGAAGATGCCATTTGGTTTGATTATTTTTCTAAACTTCATCATTCCCAACCAATATAAAATGTTCTTGGCTTTTTCCTAATAAATTCAAATTAATGCTCATGACCCCCCCATGTGGAATCTGACCAAGCATTAAAAAAAACTTGAATGCTCGTCTTTGGATAAGTCTTGCACCGAAAGATTAGAAAACTTCAAATCACATACTAACCCTATAAGTACCATGAAGATCTTCCTACTCTTGCAAACCTTAGAAGCCACAAGCTCTAGCATCTCATTGCTCATTAGTCACCATGTCCCCCAATTTTAGGACGTTATGTTTGTTCTTGATTGTGGTGATTGCACCTGCGGCAGTGAAGTGTGACCTAGAAATAGGCTTTTATGATCAGACATGTCAAGGGGCAGAGCTGTTAGTCTTTGATGCAGTTGCAAGGGCTGTGAATGCAAATCCTGGCATTGCTGCTGGCTTGATAAGAATGTTTTTCCATGATTGCTTTGTAAGGGTAAGTTCGTCGACAAAAGTACTAGCAAATTTTTTTTAAACCAATGATTTAAAAATGCCGGGTCGGCACGGGATCGCCCTGTCTGACTTGGGGATTGGTCACCCCATGCCGATTATGCCAGTATATAGGAAATCGTCTAGGTCTAGAAGAGAACCGGTGATTTGCTAGAGTAAAACAACGTTTTGCTATGGTAAAAATGCCATTATACAAATAGTAAAAACACCGATTCACCAATTTGGACCGGTTTTTGGCGAGTTCACTGTTTCTACACGTGTTTTTTCTCTACTTCACTATTTTTTCCGTACAGTAAAACCATGATCCGGACTGCCGATTCACCAATCCGAACCGATTTTTGTGATGCGCGCAACGGTTCACCAATCCGGTTTTTCAATCACTAGTTTAGACTATTACTCTTTTCTTCTGTCTCATTGCATGTCCTGTGGCCAAAAATGCTCTTTGGTATGTTTGATGTGTTTTTATTGGCTCTCATGCGAATATAATTTCACAACAAATTACAAGGAGCCTCTTATATTAATCTATACTCATGTGACATGATATCCTTTTGTAGGTTCAAAAGATTTTTCTCTAAAAGTCACAGAGGAAAGACAAAAGGTAAAATTGTTGATTTAATCATCTAATTGACATTTTGAGGTGCTTTGACCATGTTAATGATGTTTTTGTAACCTAATTTATCAAATATTTAACATTTTACCCATTTTCAACTGTCCCATCTTATTATTGAACGTATTTTAATGGGCTTTTTGAATTGAAATAAAAGAAATGAATATAATGTTAAATAGTTCATATTTTAGCTGTATTAAAATAAAATTTTCCAGTTTATATTACGATTTTGTTTTGTTGGGTAAACTGGTTTTGGCGGTTTGGACCATAACAATGAAGCACTTGTGCCTTGACCATCATGAATTGGATCCCAGAACCCAACCTAGCTACGAGACAATGGACAATCGACAATGACTCTTACTTGAAAAAAAATAAT